CACTCTCTTTAGAGTAGTCTAATGATATGGGGGGATCTAAGAATATGCTTGATGGAAGACATGCAGAGCACTGGAGACTGCAATGAGTCAGTCAATGAAAGTTGGCTAAGAAAGCTTCTATTACACAATCTTCTTACTCTGATTATCAGACTACTCAGCACTCTGTATCCCCTTTAATTGCTTTTATTTCCACTTCTATTTGACAGAACCCTTCTTTAAATTACATGTGCTCTCTCCCTCCTTTTGCTTTTACCAGGCTCATCCTATTCACCTGAAAATGCTCCTTTTTCTCTCTGCCTATGGAAATTTCACCATCCTACAGTCTCAGCATAAAGATTTCTTTTAACTAGCCAGGCCTGGTGGCATGTACCTGTAGCCTGGAAGACTGAGGAGGGAGAATCACTTAAGCCCAGGAGTTTAGGGCAGCCTAGGTAACACAGGAAGATTCCCTCTTCAGGAAAAAAAAGAGAAAGAGAGAAAGAGAGAGAGAGAGAGAGAGAGAGAGCGCCTAGGATTCATTATCTTCCTTTCCTGTGAGCTTATATTACTTATAACCTATATTACAAAATTTATGCCCTTATTATGTGGTAATCCTTTTTTATTTCCTCTTTCCTGCTTTAATTTCCCCCATTCTGCTGGATTATTCCTATTATAAAACAAATATCTTCTAGTATTTTCTAACATGTTTTAAAATATCTAAAACCTACATACTTAGGTACCACAGTATTTTTTATTTATCCCTTCATACCCATATTTCTTGAAACAGTTGCCTACTCCTGTTATTTCTATTTCCTCATTTCTTACATACTTTAGTTCTAACTCATTACAGTGTGGGCTTCATCCTCATCAAGTCTTTCATCAAGATCAATAACAACCTCTATATTGTCCAATCCAATGATTTCTATGTTCTCTTATTTGATTTCTCAGTGCCATCTGACAGATGAGTATTTCTTCTTTCTAGAAACTTCCTCTGGCCTTTTAGGACTTACTTCCTTATTTTTCTCCCCCCACCTTGCCCCCTGCCCACCCACTGCCTGACAATCTCAGCTTCCTTTCTCTAGTCATCCTCTAATATACCTCTTGATATTTTTTTCAAGGATCCACCTCACTTTTCTCTTCCCTAAGAGTTAGAAGTTTGCCAAAAGGAAAAGAATCAACTTCTAAGAAAGCTTTAGAAATTCTAGTAGTGTTTGGGGGGAAACAATAGTAGTAGTTAATGAGAAAGGACTAGAGATAGTAGGAGTCCTACAAGGCAAAAGTCACAACAATGAAGATTTGTCCTGTGTCATGACATTTAAATGTCCCACCAGATAGGCACATAACCAAGAAATCTACCTAGAACTTAACTCAGTTTAACAGATCAAAGTATAGTTTTAGAAACTAAAGCCATCATATTATCAAAAGACAACTCTGGTTCTTCTCCATGAGTTGAGTATTTTGGAAAATCAAATAACCAATAGCAACGAAGATTTATGAGATGCCAGAACTACACCTCTGCCTCACTCCACGAAGGGCAGTCATTTGATTTTACACATAGGTAAGGCAATCTCCATCGAATGTTCCAGCTTTATTTTCTCCAGGGCACACTCTTACCATCTAGCATACTGCATCTTTTACTTATATTTTTTATGTACTTCCCCCTCCCACAAAAAGTAAGTTCTGTGAGCAAAGTAGTTTTCACTTTATTTACTGCCCACTACAGTGTCTGATGCATACAAGGGTTCAATAAATATCCCGTGACTCAATCTGATTACTTCCTGTTTTCTATTATGCTTATGGACAAATATTTCAATATTGAAATCATTAAAAAATACCTTTATTTCTCTGTCATACTATGATCGAAGCACTGCATTGATTTTTTATTATGAGCACAGATAAATTATATTAGCTATGAAAATCATGCCAGAATATTAAGAGTAGACATCAAAATATCTATTATATTAAGGGGGTACTAAGTCTCAAAGGTTGAGAAACACTTTTAACCAGGACCTCTCTTTAGAATACCAGAGTAACAAATCCAATTGCCTCCTTTACAATCACAAAGAAAGGTCCTAAAGACAATCTCACTCTAACATGCCCAAATGGAAACTGATTATCTCCAATATGTCTCTATCATCCCTGTAGCATCTCAAAATATTACCCCACTGACTCCAGAAAGCTAGGAATCATATTTCAATCTTCCTTTCCTTCCTCCATGACTCCAATCTATCAACAAATTCTCTAGTCTACTTTCAAAATATATCTGGAATTTATCCACTTCTCTCCACTACCAAAACATTACCTTGGCCCTCACTACTTGTTATTTGAACTATTTCAGAATCTCACAGCAAGGTGCCTGCCTCCACTGTTTTCCCTTCATTCCATTCCCTACATAGGAAAAAAAGGCTCCCTTAACTGCTTCTGATTGAAATTAGAATAAAATTCCAAGTCTGGTGTGTGGCATAGGCCTGTAATTTCAGCAACTCTGAAGCTAGGCAGAAGGATCACAAGTTCAAGGCTAGCCTCTGCAACTTAGTGAGATTCTATCAAAATAAAAAAGAAAAGGGCTAGAAATGTGGTAGAGTGCCCCTGGTCACTTCCCAGTACCACAAAAGAACATAAAATAAAATTCCAAATCCTAAGCATGGCTACTTGACCAACTTTCCAACTTTATCTTATACCATTCTCCCCTTTACTCACAACATAACTGCCATAAACATGCTCCTTCACTTCCTACAACACACCAGTCTCCTCAGCGTCCTCCCTCTACTGAGACTCTTTTTTCCTCCTTTTCCAGCTTCTCTTCTGTCCCCTTGCCTTATGCTTATGCTTATACACAAGCACTCCCTGAGCAGTTGGCTCCTTTTCATTCAATCGGTCTTTGCTTGCCTGACACTCAGACTGATTTTATTCAACCTAAGGTAAATGTTCCCTATTATTCCCTTTTTATTGTTTTTTTTACGGTACTCACCACAGTTTATAATCATATATTTAATAATTTCTTTGCTTTTTAAATGTCTGTCTCGGTCACAAAAATAAGTCCCCTAAAAGCAAGAACAAAGTCTGTCTTGTTCACTGTCATATATCAGCTAGACCAGTAAGGATCACAGGAACTAGCAAATTGCTGACACTCAACAACTATTTATTGAACAATGAAATTAATGAGTCACCCTTGAACCTGATGCCCCCCCCTCACCAGCAAAATCCAGTTTTCAAGGCCTAAGAATTTTAATCTCAAAAATATTCTCAAATCTTTACTAATCTATTCCCATTTCCACATATTGCCTTGACAATTTTACCATCTTCTTAGCTGCTTTTCCTGCTTCACATGGGTCCAGTACATCAAGGACCTATCAGGCTAGGAATAGAGCTCTGTGACATAGCACTTGCCTAGCATGTTTCATCCCATGCAAGTTTCATCCCAGCACCATAAATAATAAATCAATAAATTCAGGTAATCCCCAAAAGAAACAACCTAATACAAATAGAATCTTTTATTTCCACTGAAAAAGCTCCCCTGGCTTACCACTGCCTATTTATAAAGGAAAAACACATTAGAAATTAGATTTGACTCAAATCTACCAGCTCAGCCTCAAATCCTCAAACTCACATACCCCTTTTATTCCAGACACATCTCAAATTAAGATGGTTCCCTGAATATACCAGGTATCAAATTCTTGTCTTTGTATTCCTTCTGTACAGTAAAAATTCTGGGTGTCCCTCAAGGCCCAATTCAAGTGCTGCTTCAAATGTCAGCTCCTTACAAGTTTTCCTAAACCTTCAGAGACAGAATTAAGTTGCCATATTTGAATTTAACACTCTTCATCTTGCCTGGAGAGAGAGTAATAGCATAGTGGTTAGGAGAAATGATTGCCAGGCTATGGAGATTTACAAGCTAAGTAATCTTATGCAATATATTACCATCCCTGGGCCTCAGTTACCTCAACTGTAATATGGGATAATAATTTAAAAGTACTTAGCACAGATATGGCAATAATGAAATACAATTCATGTTACCTATTAGTTACTAAAATGTGTGGGAAAAGTATGCTTTGGTTATCTGTGTATCCCTATTACCAAACATCTAGCCAAAAGCATACAGAATTTTTTCAAATGAATATGAAGTTGGGATTAAGAATTACCATGACAAGTAGAGGTAAACTACAGTGGTGACAGAACATTTAAGGAATACAAAAAATATTTTATATTGAGATGAAATCAGGCTGTATATTATCATGTATCTATTAACTTTAAGCATTAATAGCCTAAACGATTATTGCTGTAATCCTTTGGCTCATCATGTCGACTTTTATTGCAATATTTTCTTGGCTTCTTTCAGCCTCTGGTTTATTACTTTCCAGGCTGTACGCCTGCACTAATTTGCATGACTTTTAAACTAATCATTAGATTTAAAAAGCAATTTTGTAATTTAAATCCATAGCACTTAATGACTTCCTACCTCAAGGCACTAAATTTACACTTGAAACAGCTCGTCGGACCTACCAGTCTATACAAGAGAGAAAGTGTTCCAGTTGTGTTTGGAACTTACACTGATGGTTCTGAAAATGTCAGGCTAAAGGTGGATATCCTACAATGTAGGACTGGGAATGCCCATAAAGGGCTGTATGTACATTCTCACGCAGAGGTCCATCACACAGGCGTCAAAAGTCATCCTTCCCCTAGAGAAGGACGTGCTTGTGTTTCCGTGGCCGCGCGGCCACGCCTCGGGATCTGTGCTGACTGGCAGGTGGCCTGTTGTGAGTCTAGACATTTAGGGTCACCCGGCATGCAGAGCAGTAAGAACCTCTCCGCGCGGCGGGGTGTACCGCCGAGTGCGGCCAGCCATGCACCCATCACATGGGCTTCGGCCTCGGCGGACATCCCTCTTGGGAGGTCTGGACAAGCACGACAGACAGCAGGGCAGTGGAAAGGGAATGGGATGAGGGGTTGGGAGCAGGTGGGTAGATCCTTCACTGGGCTTGGCGTTCTCTGGATTTTGAGGGGCAAGACCTTGCACCAACCTCCACGAAGGCATCAGTCAGGTCACTAGCACGGTCCATCACTGGCAAATGGCGCCCGGCTACGATTTTCACCTTCAGCTTCCCAGGCATCGTCTCGGCTTCGGCCTCTCCTTGGGCTCCTGCAGAAACAAACAAGCGAGCCTGCGCCGAGAGCCCGGCGGGCGGGGGAGGGGCGCGGGCGTGTGGGGAGCGGCGCGCGCGCCGGCGGGAACGCGCGGGGCAACTGACAGCAGAGGGCGCGCGGAGGCGCGCACGGGTACCGCGCCGCCGCGCTACACTCACTGTGGCACAGAAAACGGGGTTGTGTCGCACGGGCGCTGAGACCTCATTCCGGAGAGGTAGTCAGAGAGAGGACCTTGGTGGATTCTGCCGGTCTGGTCCAACAGTGCTGGGAAAAGAAGAAACTAAACCCAGTCAGCATCCCATTGAGCCTGTGCTGCACCTACACGTACTTCTCCTGCCATTTCCCCCCTCCCCCCCCCAAAAAAAAAAGATGGCGGCTCTCGGGGCGTGGAGGCAGCATCGATCTTTCGGCGCTCTGCCCGCTTGGCGGAGGAGAAACTAAAATTCGCCGGGAAAAGATTAAGGAGGCGGGACTGACGTCGAGGAAGCGGGAGGGCAGGGAAATGGGTCGAGTCCTGCATCATCCACCGAGTCGCGCCGTCGCGTTGTGTGGGGTTCCGCGCTGCTATCCCGCAGAGAACCCCGCGTCCTCCAGCGAGCGGCGGCTTGGCAAGCCACAAGCGCCGCTTTCTGGAAGGGCTGTGACAGACTTAGCTGCAGTGAAGATTGCTAGAGGAGCCTGCCTTTAAACACCCGTTAGTGGTTCGTAAAACCAATCTAGCTGGTTCCTACGTGGAAGGCGTACAGGTGCGTGTGGTTAGATTCAGTTTTCTGTGAAATAAAGAAATATCAGGTAGTATTATTTCCCGAAACGTTTGATTCAGCCATCCGCGCTTGTACTGTGTACTGGATCGTAGATGTTACCTTGGGCGAGGAATGGGAAGGGAACACTCTAAAATCCAGAGTCCCTGAAAAGACCCCTGCACGCATAGATCATCTCTGTGTAGTTATCACGAACCTACGAGCGGAAAGGGGAGACCTGCCTTGGGAAAGTACAGTCAACCGTACTTGGGTTCATGAGAAATGAACCCGAAGAGCCATTACATCTTTCAGAATTGACCCAATTACATAGACGTGAACGTACTAAAGTGACGTATTATCTATAGGTCCAGATGATCAGAAAACGATAAGGGAAATTGAGGCACAGGAACCAGACAATAAAATCACTTCATACCAAATAACAAAACCAGCATTAACAATATACTTCATATCAAATGCCCAAGTCAGTGTTAAAAATGCAAGTGGCAAGGTGTATAACACAGGAATCATGAGGAATGAACATTTTCTAAATGAAGATATCCGCAGTATAATTTTTTTTTCATTTATTTTATTTTTTTATTTTTTGCCTCTCAGGTCCCCCTACGCTGGGGGTTGAATCCAGGTCCCTGCAAGTGCTAGACAGCTAAGTAAGCATTCTACCACTGAACTATACTCCCAATCCCAGCATGATCTTTTTAACTTCAAAAATACTCAACTGGCGTGGTGGCGAGTTTATGTAATCTTAGCAACTCAAGAGCCTGAGGCAAGAGGATCACAAGTTCGAGGCCAGCCTTAGCAACTTAGTGAGGCTGTACTCAACTTAGTGAGACCCTGACTCAAAAAATAAAAAGGACTGGGGATGTGGTTCAGTGGTAAAGTGCCTCTGGGTTCTATCCTCAGTACCCAAAAAAGAAAGAAAAATGTTCTATATATAGAGTTCTGCACTCCAAGCAGTAGTAACCCAGAAATGTTTTCAAGGCAGAAATTCCTCCTACAGAAGGAATACTGTTAACATGAGTGAGAAGTTGAACTCTCTCAAAGAGAAAAAGAAACAACTTGCTCAAAATAAAAATCTAAAGGATAGGGATGGGGTTGTGGCTCAGCTGTGGAGCACTGGCCTTGTACCTGGGAGACCCTGAGTTCAATCCTCAGCACCACATAAAAATTAGTAAGTAAAAATAAAGGTATTGTGTCCAACTACAACTAAAAAAATAAATATTTTTTTAAAAACCTAAAGGATAAATTATTGATTTTATAGTATTGAAACCTTTGTCCATTCAAACTATGACAAAAAGATAAGAGGCCCCAATTTTCTTGCAAATTTCCCTAGATCCAACTGTAGCTTTTGCTGCAGTTTGACTACCCTTAAAATGCCTCTGTCAAATGCTAAAGATTGACCTGCCCTATGTGATCAGTGTTTATTGTTTTGTGGTAGGGTACAATTTTTTTTTCCCTTGAAATTGGGGGTGGCATGAACCCAGGGCCTCACACATGCTAGCTACACCACTACATCCCTAACTAGCTTTTTCTAATATAATGAAATCATAGACTCATCATGTTACTAGTTCATTTTTAAAAAACATAGGGAAAAATATAAGAAAACTGAAGTTTAGCAATAATCTTATGGAAAATAATGCACTGTATTACAAGATGTTGTAAAATATATTTGCAAATTGCACAATGAAAGGTTAGCAACCTTGGCTTCCTAATTAGTAGACTATAAGGTACATACCTGTTGCCTTAGGCTTCATCAACAGAAGATTATAATTAAGAAACTTCCTGAATACTGTTTTTTATTGGAATTAAGCCTGACTTTAGTTTAACTGTTTCCTAATAATTGCACTAGTTTGTTCTAATTAATGCTGGGAACAGTGCTGTCCTTCCTGACAAATCTGTCATGATCTGACCTCTGATTACCTTCTTTAGCTTCAGACCCTGCCCTTATTCTTGCATTTTAGATCCTATAATTATGAGTTATTGCATATTGAATGTTTTCTATATGCTAGATATTTAATTCAGAGCTCTCAGCAGCTTTGTAGCCATTCTAAAATCCTATGAGATAGGAATTATCAGCCTTCCTTCTTTTCTTTTTATTTTTTAACTCAGGGATTGAGTCTTCATTTTATAGATGAGTAAACTTCAGCTTTGAAAAGATGTGATTTCCCAAGGCCCCAGAGCTGATAATGAGGGAGGCAAGATTTAAATCTAGGCAATAATTCCAAGAATCCATGCTCTTTAAAGGCTGCATATAGTTTTCCAGTAAACTGTGCTTTTCCCTCTGCCTGGAATATCTTCCTCAGTCATTTTACTAATACATATGAATTCAAAACTCAGTTCAAATATCACTTCTACATCTTCTGATTCCCTTCCTAATAAAGATACTCCATTCCTGCCTATGCTGCTACTTTATCTAGAGTATCTTCCCTTGTAGTAATTATCCATCTATAACCTGCCCCTACTAATTTTTGACCACCTTGAGGGAAAGGATTGCTTCTTACTCATCTCTCAATTTTCAGTTCTTGCCCTGTGCCCTTTGTGCAGTGAACAAATGCTTATGCATTAAATTGAGTAGAAATTAACCAATTATTACTACTTTGCTCTCTCCTCTTTTCTGTCTTCCTAAAATGTTGCTTTTAAACTCTCTTCATCACTTTAAAGTTAAATTTCTCAAGGATTGTCTGTATTTAGTGCCCTCTCTTCACCTCCCAGACAGACCTGAAACAACTATTTATATTCAGAATTAACCACCACCACTGTACCAAAACAGTTCAGACTAATGCCATCAATAGCCTCTGTTGCTAAATCCAGTAGACACTTTCAGTTTCCATTTTACATGACTCTCAGTAGCATTTCACACTCTTGACCATGTTCCACTTAAAATAGTCTTCCTCCTGTTATTTAGACACCATACTTCTCTTACTATTCTGATATATACTTCTGTCTTTTCAGCCTATTCAGTATCCTTAACTATTTAATATGTTTTTCTCAGGTTCATTTCCTAGACATATTCTCTTCTAACTATACTCTCTCCCTACGTGATGATCTCATCCATGCCATTGATTCCAATTTTGAAATATTTAGCTTAGAACTATCAATTTTTATTTTTAATCCATGAATCTCTTGTGGGATTTTGATCCTATTTCTATTTGAATTATCAAAGAGACCTCAAAGACAGAATGTCCAAAACTGAACTTCACCATCTACATAGTCAAATGCTCAAACCAGAAACTCACTGATTTAAGTTTAAGAGTAGATACATACAAACAAGAAGCTAAACTCAATTCAGTTTTTTGTTTTGTTTCTTTTTTTTTTTTTTTTTTTTTTGGCAGCACTAGGCATTAAAACCTTGTGCATGCTAGGCAAGCACTGTACCACTGAGCCATATCCATGACCCCCAGTTCAGTTACTTTTGCTTTGATTTATTGCTAAAGTAAGAAATCAGCTGTGTAAAAATTAAAATTGAGATAAGTAGGCAGCTAGGTAGACTCATCTTCTATTGGTTTTCTTATGTCTAATTGGTTCTCTTGAGGCATGCCTAATGTATGATGGGCATAAGAACCACATCTAATAAAATACTCTCCAGATTGGAAGATTATTAAGGCAGAACACATTACCTTACATCAGTATCTATCAATGCACTCAGTGAGCCATAGTACCCAGATGTAATGGGCAGGTACTTCCTCATTGTTCCAGCACAAGGATAAGATCCCCTTATTAGTGGCCGTTATGGTTTAGATATTAGATATCTCCAAAAAGCTCATATGTGAGACAATGCAAGAAAGCTTAAAGATGAAATGATCAGGTTATGAGAGCCTTAACCTAATCAGTGCATTAACTCACTTGAATGGATTAACTAGATGGTAACTCTAGGTAGGTAAGGTGTGGCTGAAGGAAGTGGATTGATGGGGGTGTGCCTTTAAGGTTTATATTTTGATGTAAGGAGAGCTCTATCTCTGCTTCCTGGTGCCTGGTTCCTTGCTGCTTTCCTCCATCACACTCTTCTACCATAATTTTATACCTCATCTCAGGCCCCAAAGAATACAGTTGGCTATCTATGGACTGAGAGCTCTCAAACTGTGAGCCAAAATAAACTTTTACTCCTTAAAATTGTTCTTGTCAGGTCTTTTGGTCATAGTAATGAAAAAGCAAAATAAATCAGTGACTATACTACAAAGCCTAGAATTTTCCATTTATGACTACTTAAAGGCTGTTGTGGTTTGGATATGAGTTGTTCCCTAAAAGCTCTTGTGTTAATATAGGAATATTCAGAAGTTAAATGATTAGATTATGAGAGCTGCAACCTAATCAGTCCACCTTAGTTTGAACAGCCTGACTATAACTATGTGGTAACTATAGGCGGGTTGGGTATAGCTGGAGGAGCTAGTCACTGGGTTGGTGTGCCTTGGAAGGCTTCAACTTCCCTGAGGTTCCCCACACACACAGCCATCATGAGCAGAGTTTTCCTCCACCATACCCTTCTGCCATGATGTTCTGCCCCAACTTGGAGTCAGCTGACCACACACTGGACCTCTGAAACCATGA